ATATTTTTAAAAGGCATCTGATGCCACTACTAAATGCATTTCAGAAAGCATTTACTGTACCACCAGTGTCTGCCAAGCCCAAGGGGAAATGTGCATGGGTAGACTAGGGTGAGATAGTGTCCCAAGAAGAGTAAGCAGCAATAGAGACTGTATTCTCTTTTCTAAGCATTTAGTCACACCTGAATCCAGCCCAGTGTCCCAAGTTAATCCAGTTGACTCAATGAGGTGAATATTTAGACAAATGGACAGCTATATGTTTAGAGGGCCTGGGTGCAGCTCAGCTATGACTGTATGTCAAAATTTGATATACCAAACAACAGTCTTCATGAGAAGGAATAACTTTTACCTCCTCCACCACACCATTCCATTTAGCAAGCTTTTTTGAACCTATGAGGTATGTAATAAAATCTGTGAGCCCTTTCCCACCACTGTCTGGAATTCACAAGTGAGGCTTCATCCTCTGGGATCCTTAGTCTCTACAATGATCAAGGAGTTTTGGACAGCTGCCTTGGTAATCTGCTAGATTTGGAAGGCTATGGCTACTTTCCTTTGCAGATTGTCCTGGGCAATTAGATTATAATAGGGCAAAGAGTATCCTTCATGAACTCCCACTTTTTCCTGTACAGAAACAATATTGAAATGATATCTCCTTGTTTTCAGAGTGACGACTATTATTTTGTAGTTATAGGATATATAATTTTAATATTCTGCCTCTGTGGAAACATTATAAAAATTTACTTACCTACACATATATGTATATGCACAAACACATATAAATATGGTTAAGCAATGGGTATGGATAATTAACTACACTTTCTCTCATTCTTTCTAGTTTCCTACAGCACAGATCCTGAAGTTTCTTTAAAAGATGAAAACTGTAAGTTTTACATACTTGTCTTTAAATCATACTATAGCATTTTTCTCTCCCTTGATCATTGTAATTTTAAGACTGCCCTGGCTTACGTTGTAAAAACGAGAACAGCCAGATGCTGCAGAACAGTATAAGTGATGTTTTAAATGCATTAATACTTAAGCATAAGATTAAATGATTTTTTCATAAGTTGACTTTAATTAGAAGGTATAGTAATGTGCTCTGAAACCATTTTAACAAAGGGGATTCATTGATTCATCTGTTACTTCTAATGACTGAAGAAACTGTAAGATCTTGTTAAAAGACTTCTAGCTATTTACTAGTACCATGAAGTGACATTTACTGTGGGGTTTTTACACAGAAGGCTTTGGGATATATTCTGCATACATTTTCCTGAGCCATCTTATAATGCCCAGATCACATTGTACAGTAGATTGTATATTCTTCCACACACTTTTCTGCAAACACTACCAAATTTCGTAAGCTGTGCCTGCCTTCAGATCTCACTATATACACAATGTGAAATGGCTCAGGTAGTTCCAAACCAGTTGGTTGCTTAGCAACCCACCTTTACAGTTATGCCCAAACTTTTAGTTAGATGTGTTAGGGACTGAATCTAGGGCCTCATGCATGCTAAGCATGTATTCTACTATTGAGCTACATCTTCAGCATGCTTAGCCTCTTGATGCCCTGTGTGCTCATGTTTTTTATACATGGGGATGCAGAGATAAGAATGTGTTAAATGAAATCACTTTGTTGGGCTCAGAATCTGAGGCATTCTCTGTTTGCAAAAAGAATAAAAATAATCTTTCACTAGTTTTTATAAGGGCTAAATGAAAGCAAAAATTTACATATAAATTTCATAATAGACTTGCATTTGGTTAGTATTTAGTGAATATTATGTAGTATTAGAGACATAGGGACATGTTGGGGTAAAGAAAGTCAGGGACCTACTTATCAAAAATAATTTACCCCATTAAATTCATTCACTAAAAGTAACTTTGCTTTTTAATCTGAGAAACATTCTAAGCAAATTTAACAGAGGTTGTTAAACAACTTGACTTCTAAGCTGAATCTCACTCTTGGTGGTTTTCATAAGAAAGTTAAATATTGATTGGGCATTGTGGTGGAAAGAAATAACATTTCAGTGTTGGCATCAGAAATACCTGTTATTCCCTCCCCATTAATGTGAGCCATTCTGCCAGAAGAGCAGGTGAAACTAATTCCAGGACTTCTTCCAGATGTGCTACAGCTGCAGCTCACAAGCACCTCTGCCTACTGCACCTACCTCCTCCTGCTCCTCAAGAGTGCCATCTACTTGGCCATCATCAGCTTCGTTCTGTTTAGAAGAATGGCTACCTGTCATGATGGGGAAGGTTCTTAATGATGGTGGCCCAATAGGTCATCTGGTTTCCATCCTTTATTGTCTCAACAGTGTCTCCAGGGGATGAAAATGGATTTGATTGCTGAGTTTGGTTCCTTAAAGTCACATATGTCCTCTTCTATCATTGTTACATGAAGGTTTTCAAGCTAACATGCAATTTCAGCCACTTTACTACAACAAGGAACAGGCCATAGCAACACCCATCTCCCTGTCTCCATCTTCTATATCACCCTAACGACATCCCAGAGCACCACAGCCCGAGAGTGGGCAGCTTGCATCTTCAAGTCATGATATTTGCTGTTCTCGAACCAGAAAATCCCCCGAAATTGTCTACTCTGCATAACCTAAAGAAGATTCTTTACTGCTTAGATTGTGTGTTTGTTTTTCATAATACACAAAATTAATTTTAAAAATCAAAAGTCTGCTTTTGTCTATGTGCACCTTAATTCATGACAATGAATTAGAAGTCCAAGGTGAGGAAATAAGACAACTGACCTGTGATTATATGTGTTGGTGACAGCAAGAGTCAAATGTTTCTAATTCTTTTCATGATATAGAGGTTATGACACTTTCCTGGAGTGTTGAGTGAAAGAGGAGTCACAGGCATTTGAAGAGGCCCATGTGACTGTTACTGCCATCTCTAGGGTATAAGCTT